TATTACTTGCTAAAGTTCTGTCCTTTTGATATTTGGAGAGACATTATCACAGGCAGAGCAACATGCATCCCATCTAATTTGAGATCTACAGCATAGACATATGCAAATGAAGAGGAATTATTTTTTCTGACAACAAAACACCTGAGTTTATGCTTTAGTCTGCTTCGTAGTGCATAGACGTTCTTAGTGAAATTTAAACTGTCTAGGAATAGAGTAGAGTCGGAGAATGAGTAACTGAAATGAAAACATCTGTATATATGATGATTGCTACTTAAATGTCTTTCACAATTTTGAATAGAAATACTAGAAATCTGTGAATGTTGTAATTAGTGGACTTTGTCCTTAATGACCTGTCCATCATTTCTATCCTTAAGCTATTATAGGGATGTAAAAAAAAATGTAGTTGGGAAGTAAACAAGGAGATATGCTTTAATATGTGTAGAATTGTAGGATGGTTTGGGATGGAAGGGACCTTAAATATCACATAGTACCAAATATCCTGCTGTAGGAAGGTATGAAGGCAACCTTCCTAGGCCAAATTATGCAAAGCTGTATCCAACTTGGACTTGAACCTGTCTAGAGATGGGGAGTCCACTTCTCTGGGTAACCTGTCCGTTCCAGTGCCTCACCACACTTACAATGAGGTATTTTTTTCCCTAATACCTAATCTAAGCACATCCTCCTTCACCTTGAGGCTATTCCCCTTTGTCCTATCACTACAGGCCTTTGTGAAAAGTCCCTCTTCAGCCTTCTTGTAAGCCACTTCAGGTACTGGAAGGTTTCGCCAAGGTCACCCTGAAGCGTTCTCTTCTCCAGGCTGAATTGGGTCATTCATCAGTGGCAGGAGGTCTGCATTAAATCAACAGACTTAGGTACACAGTGGTCTCTGGGATTCATGTACTCTGTTGGCCTCTTGAACGTACCCAATAGGTTTGAGTATTATGTACACAAAGTCACAGCGATTGATACAGTTCTATGCTGCTAAGATGGTCTGGAATCAGAACAATTAGTTGTAGTACAAACGAGTAATATTTCAATTTTCTTGAATAGAAAGTATGCCATTGGCTTGCAGCTAAGAAGGTAAGGATTGTTTCAGGGAAGGATGTGATTTCTAATCCCCTACTTTCAAGCACATTTTAGAAGAGAAATCCCCCAGGAAGTAGCTATGTTATCTAAGCCAGCAAACACCACAAATTGTAGTTGTGCTGGTTTTCCATATGGGCCAGTTTTCTACTTCACAAAGCTATAATGTCGTTCAAAGTTCATTTTACTGGTAAGCATCATTGAGCCAAAATTGAGTTCAGAGCCCCAGGGTAAATAAATGTAAGCATTTATCCAGAGTGCTATTTAAATTGGCATGAAATTTTGGGATCTTGGTTGCCTAGTTCGCTCATTTCTAGTGCTATGCAGGCTTCATTAGGGCCCCTAAAATTGAGAAGCTGCGTGTCTTTTATGGGGAACAAAAAAGTTCCCTGCAAAACTGATGACTTTAAAAAATATGTAATCAGTACAGTCGACATGAACTCTATAATATGATAGCAGTCAAAGAGGGTTTTTATTTAAAGCTTATCTACATATTATCAAGCCAATTAGACACTGATAAAAGTTGCTTTTAAAGTTAAGGTTTTTTACCCATATTCCCTGTAATTTTCCAATAGGATGAACTAAGCATTCTTTTCCTTGCCAATCAAAATTGCTGCCTAAACATTTTTACTTCAGATAATGGAAGTATACAATGATGCATGCATGAGCTGAAGGCCTGTTGCTTTAATGAGTTAGACTTGCATGTGTGTTATCTTAAACACTGGTGGACCTTTACAAGATTTTAAGTAAAGTATTTTTTTTCCCCTATTTCTTTAAAAATATTGTTTGGGGTGGTAAATTGTATTTTAAAAGTATGTCTGCATCACTTGCTATCTTTATTTATTTGTTCCTTAAGAAATATTGCGTAAGAATGACTCATAATGTTTTAATCAGAAACTATTTCTATATTTAAAAAATATTTTCTTCACATTTTCAATTTTTTCTTAAATGAATCATTTTAGTAGTGCCATGTAATCTTGGCTTTACAGGTGAAAAGGTTCTTCATATGTCCGTTTAGCCCTTTAGCAGTGCCATTATATATTCAGAAATCACTGTGTGTCTGTAAAGAAAATGGTGATGTACTGTAGTGTAATATATATTTCTGAAACTTCTTTTTGCCTAGTTGTTACGTAAACTCCAGTTATAAATGATCCCCTTCTTCCAGATTTCAGAGTGACACGGACATGCACAAAAATGTATTGCAGCTCTAATGATGTCACATGCTTTTCTAAGGAAAGCATATGGTAGATGTACAAATCACTTACATCCAAGGTGGACTTTCCCTTATTATTTTATTGTGCTGTTATTGAGTGTGCATTTTGTAATTTTGTTTCCTGGAATGAGATTGTAATGCAAGACAGATTCTATATGCCAAAAATAAGACTTTAATGGATTAGACTGTTTTGACTGGAATATTAGAAGGATATAATAACATGCTAATACATTTTGTTAGGCTGCCAGCTTATGTGTGTAAATGTTTCAAAAGGAATGAGACATGCATACACATAGCATACAATGTTTAATTTACTAGGTTATATTTGCTTACAAAGTTGTACATCTTGATTGAAAAATATGGGTTTTTTTTATAGTTATCTTATGCCTATATGGCTAGGGCTATAGGTCTAGATATATATTGTTCTTGTAATTTTAAATTCATACTGCTCTCTAGTGGGGAATGCTTTCAATGCAATAGATTATATATATATATATTCATATACAACATGCATATAAACTGGAATTACTGAACTGTTACTGGTATCTAGACCAATAAACTAGTTCTATTGTGATAGCATTTAAATCCTTCTACTGCTTTGATTAAAGACTTAATTTACTAATTTAAAAATATTTTAGACAGATGAACTTTGAAGTGAGCAGTATCTCCAGCAAATTCCAGAAGGGCTGAGAAGTTGATAGATTTATTCTTCTTCCTCAGGAGAAACCTCCTCCTTCAATTAGGAGAAATATGCTATAGGTCTGCTATTGAAAAATGTCAGATTTTTTTATGAGCTTCCACAGTTTTGGAATGTCTTTTGCTTTGGAATGAACTGTTTAACCTGCTTTCTCATTTCTTGCTTTCAACATTTACACTCCTAAATTAAGTGCTGACTGTACACAGAAGTTGAAATAATACTGGCAGATCTAGTTGAGTGAGGTTTAAATCTACAGCAAGTGCAGAGGTCCTCTCAGACTGCAGTCTGTACTTTCTTAAATGATATGTGGTTTAGTTAGCATAGAAGAACACAAGGCTAATTAGATAGCAAACAAATCTGAAAACTGAGATTGAAACTGATTTGAATATTGATAGACTTTAGATTTGCTTCTTTAGATAATTTTGTCTTTGTGATTTGATTTGAGGGCAATAATTGTCTTCAAATCCTTGGGGAATCTGTAAAAAAAAGTTAAGCTGATGAAATTTAAGTTATTTGACGTTATCTGAAGAATGATTTGCAGCATTTTGTTGTAATCAGCCCCAAATCTGGAGGCTTGCTTGGACTTGTTTTAGACACTGAAACTTTTCTGGATCTGGCATTAAACGTGGGATGATGGATTGTAAGAGAATAGAGAGAGTGCTGAAGGCAATCTCGCCCCTGAGGAGTTGCAGCTGTGCTAATTACCAAAAGAGTAGGAACAGCCTTGCCCTTAATAGGTCACAGCTGTGTCCAGTAAGGATGGGTGTTGTAAAAGAGTGGATGAACTGCTCAAGAGGAGAGTTGGAAGTCAATTGGTTGTGCTGCTGTGAGAAGTCAGGCTCAGGAGGTTGTGCCAAGGACAGTAAGGGTTAGGATGTGCTGCAAGGGACAGGAAGGGTCATTAGGCCGTCATGCTAGGGACAGGAAGAAGCCAACTGTGCGGAAGAAAGAAAAGGAGTCAGTGTTGCAGGGAGCTGCCTGTGAGAACTCACAGGGAGAAGGTATGAAAGCCTTACAGTAGGATGATAAACTGATGGTCAGTCAATTGGTACCAAGCACTGATGCCAACAATTAAAGACCCATTTTCTTGTGCAGCTGTAATAATCTTTTTTTGTCTCTAGGTTGATTGATTTGTCAATTAGAGGCCAAATAGTATCATTGTATTTAAGGCTGCAGTAATTTTGTCACTCAAAGTATAGATTTGATTCTTTGTCTAGACCTTCATTTATTCATTAAGTCTGGGTGAACAAGCACTTTAAAGATTTATATGGTATATAAAGTCTCATCAAAATGCCAAGTTGGTATAACATTTTGTATTCCTTGAATAGTAAATTAGGTTTGCAGTGCTCAGAGCATTTCTTCACCTGTGCCATTTCTGCTCACTTTTAATCACAGAAGCTCATGGTTACACTGGTTGCACTTGAAGTTCTGCAAATGGAATTATCTTCTTATTTCTGTAGATGTTGCTGTCTGGTATTAGCTGACACTGAGCTAACTATCCTTCAATTATAATCCTGGGTGGTTAAGATAAGAAACTAATAATGTGTTTATTTGTCTTTGAACTACTTTACATGAGAAAGTTATGAAGTTTTTAGACTTGGGCTTGAAAGCAATCACAGGAAGTGGAGAAAGGATGGCTGGGGCTGCTAAATATTTGATAAACTCAAGGGTGAGGTCTGTGCATTTAAGTTTATGGAACTAATATATAAGGGGGAGGAGGTTCTTCTGTTAGTTATACCTTTTACCCTTTCTTACCTAAGTTATCACAGGAGGTGTCACATCTACATCTGATCCACTCAACTTTGGGCACTTGGCTGTGAAGTTAGTTAAGGTACATAGAAGAACTGAAAAAGTTGAACAAAAAGCAAAATATATGAGTGGAAATTCAGTGTTAAAATATAAAATGCAAAAAACTATTTTCTGCTTTTAGTGATTTGCAGATGTTGCTATCTTTTCTGTATTATTTTGTGTTCTCATTTTTCTCTTGCATGTTTTTTTTCTTCTCAGAAAATATGAAGAAGCCCTGGAGCCCTGATTTACCAGTTGATAACCAGTCATACAATTCAGATTTCACATCTCTCCCAGACCGAGAAGGTGAGAAAGAATTAGCAGCTGATGGCACTGAAGAAAAGAAGGAGAGAGAAAAGAAGCACACCAATTTCACTTTGTGTAATGTCTGCAACATTCAGCTAAACTCTGCTGCTCAGGCACAAATCCACTACAACGGCAAATCCCATCAGAAGAGGCTGAAACAGCTCAGCAATGGAAATCTCAAAAGTGATAATGGTAAGGATATATAGATCTTTGCCATGTTTTGATCTGAGAATTGCAGCAATTGTTGATATATATGGATATAAACTTTGTTTTATTCAGACAACAAATACTTTGAAGTTAAAGCAAAGGTTTTTGGTGACTTCAGAGTGCTAGAGGTCATCTGTAGCATCTGGCAAATAGCTAAGCATATACCATCTGTGTTAGTACAAGAGTTTTCATTTTATATTTTGTTTACATAATGATTTTGATTCAGATTGTTTCTCATTTCATTTACATTTTGATGGTTTTCAACATAATCCATATTTCATATTCCATATTTCATAGTCTGCTAGAAAGGTTATCCTTGTTAGGGGCGCGCTTGCTTTTAATGAATATAAGGTGGTTGTGAAATAAATTGAAACAAGTACATTACACAGAAATACATTCCCAAACTCCTTTCACTTTAACTTGCTTATTCTGGGTTCAACCCACACCTTACATAAGTTTGTTTAAAGATCATGGCTGAAGTGAAACAGAGATGGAACAAAACTTACTTTAATCGATTTCATTGACAGCTTTGGGCAAAGCATTTTGTAGTAAGTGACATACTCTTCAATCACCAGAGTGAATTGTGATCCCCAAAGAAAAACACATTTGTGGATTTTTGTACTATGGCAGATTAGATAATAGAGGCAAATGATGATCCCTGACAAGAAAAAACAAATTACTCTGCTGCAATTTTCTCAATTTAATAACTGGTAGTGCTCAGCTTTGCTGTACCATGTATAGGGTTGTACTACATTCTTCTATCTGCTTCTGTGTGCCATGTCAGAGAAATAATTTCTTAATACGTTGTACTTAGGGCTTTCTGACTTTCTTTCTCCATATCACACATGTTACTTGCTATTTTTGTGTCTTGTATTTCTTCCTACCACACCAGCAGAAGAATGTGCAAACTAACAATCCTCAGATAGAACTTCATATTATTATTTTAATAGTCTCTGATTTGTTCCTGCTCTAAGAGTGGGGAATAACCTTGATATTTGGCCTAAGTATGTTGGATGTGAGTGCTTTTCTGTGTATGAGATGTTGCTCATTTCTGTAAAACACAACAGTAAAATAACACCCCCATAACATTTAACAGTACAATTAAATTTGTCTTTAAGTGCCAGGTGGGACTGCAGTATTTGTCAATGTTCAGAGTTCAGACTTAGGAAAAAATGCTACTACCATTAGTAGGAGCTTGGAAATGTATAAAGAAAGATTGGTTTCCGAGTTGATTAAAGGTTCAGTGTGGTTATCCACAAATGCATTCTCCATAAAACCAAATAAGCACAAGTGTAATTTATTGCTATCTTTGGTTAAGGAGGAATTGTTATTGTTATTATTAGCACAACAGTTTTGCTAATGATAGAAAGATTTTTTCTGCAGTTCATTTTTCCACTTTAATCCATGATAATGAAAGAATTAGTAATTAAGCAATGCTGAAATTAGCTTCAAATAGCTTCAATCATGGTTCAACACTTATATTCCGGAGAGGCTCAAACTAACAGTATAGCAGCATATTTCTTACTTCCTCCTGAAGAGTATTCTGTTATGTGTAGCTGCATCCATTTGTAGTTAGAAAATAGCTGATTGACTATCTAGCTCTCTAGCAATTATTTTGGGAGTTTATGTGAAACTTAAGGATTTTCAAATCTGACAGATCTTTGAATATCATCAAAAGTAGTACTCCAATGAGAAAATAATGTAGGGTAGAGTATAGAGAAGGGATTTTTCACATGTCACCGAGTTCAGTTCTCTTCAACTGAATGTTATAAATTAGATCAGTATAAAATATTTCTTGCTAGAAGTTAGAACTGAATTATAACTGAATATTTGAGTAACCATCCTCCCTGCACTTTGAATAGAGACATGGTTTAAGATGCCTTTTCTAGGAACAAGTATAAATCAGAACATGAGAGTCCTTTTACTGTTATATATTTTGTCATAACTTGTATTTCTGAAATATAGGCCATATTTTTCTAACAAATGATTGTTTTTTTGATAAGACCCCAGCAAGCTCAAGCGGCATATGACCATGTCTAAACAAATTATGACTTGAGCATTGCAATTTATTATGTACATGCAAATGGTGCTTTTTGAAGGTCATTGATGTAACTGTTAAACATGCACATTGTTTTATCAATGTCTGTCAGAAGGATACTCGATTTAAGAGAATAGTGTTTCTTGTGTGGAAGTCAGATTGTCACAAAAGAGCTGTTATGCTTGATGTTCACATTAGCGACATAATAATTCTAGAGACTAAATTCTGCTGTAAATTAAAAGTATGTAAATGTTCTCTTTATGCATTATCTTCTAAGGTGTTATCATTATAGTTACTCATTATGTCTCAACATATAAATGAAATATCTGTACTATGCACAAGGAAACTTAATTTCTAAATCCAGTATTTCACAAACAGTACTCTGTTGTATAAGCCTTTGCATTGCTGGATGCTCACTTGGAACTAACACATGAAAGTGTTGGGAAAAATACTGGAGTTGTGATTTCTCATTTTGTTTCATCTCCAAATTACTCCCATGAAGCAGGATAGGTTTGTGTGTTCTGTATCATGAGGGGATAATAGAAAGGGAGGATTGATTAATATGAAACAAAAGTCCATGTCTTGTTCCAAAATAATTTGCAATGGACTGCTGAACAGAGGTAGGCTTCAGCTGTATTAACATTTGACTGTAATTAGAGTTGTCATGCTACAGTCATCAACTTCCAGCTGTGTGAAGTAGCTTTTGTCTGTTGGACATGAATTTACTACGTTTACTATACTTGAATATCTCTCCCTAATTTCAGAAGGTAAGTTGCTTATGCACAAAGTCTGTTAACATCTGCAAATCTATAATCGGTAACTAATGTGCATTGTGGGATTAAAAGCAGTGTTTCTTTGCTGCTCAGTTGGTATCTGGAGTGTATTTGAATAACCAGATATACTCTGAAAAGTTTTGTTAGTTGCTTATGTGTCTGGCAGCTTTACTGTATGACACCCATGTGGTTCCTTCCAAGGGCAGAGTAACCTCAGAACAGCACACTGTGCAGCCACAAAAGGGATATGAACCCAATGTTTCTTGTGTCATTACCTGCTACAGTGGTTTGTGATGACTTAACAGGACATAGTGAGACATCAGCACTTCTGTTACTGAAACGTGCTTGGGAGCAACATAATCTTCCTCCTAATAATTGCCTTTTACGTGTCTTAAAACAACTTCTCTCACTTTCCTCATTACACCCTAGAAAATATTCTTACCAGTGATTTTTTTTTTTTTTGCCTTTCTGCTCTCATGCATGCAGTGGAAAGGTGACAAAAAAGTCAGTGGAGATTTTGAGTATGTTTTGGGATTAAAAGCAAAGCAAGATACAGTTCCTATCTGGTCTGCTGACATTGCACCACTTCTCATAAAACCTGCCTGGACACTGTGGGTAGAGGTGACCTCTTGTGGGAAATTGTTTATTCTAACCAGCATGAGCAAAACTTGCATTCCTACTGACAGAATGGAAAAATAACTGTGGATGCAAACATATAGCAGCACCAGTGAGAAAGCTGATGTTTCTAAAATTTTATGTAAACTAGAATTTCTTCTGTGCATTCTTTTGTGTAAATTGCTGAATCATCATGAGTGAATGGGCATGGTTAGGACAAGACCTAAAACTGCTTTCCTCTGCAATACTTTTTACAATACATTAGAGAACAAGTGGGAAAATAATGAAGGAGGTGAGCAATGTCACAAAATTAATAGAAGTCCTCATACTTTAAAAACTGAAAAACCATTATTCTTTTGAAACATGGTAGGCAGTGAAGAATTTGGTGGTGGTTTATCTAGTTCTCTAAATTCATAAACCGGACCAAAGGCTATCCAATTTAGTATGTTTTATTTGCCATTTTTAAAATTAAATCCAAATGCAACTTTTTTTTAACTGAAATTTCATTAAAGCAAAATTTTATTGTAAATAAAATAAATTTATTGTCTGACAAGGACATTGAGTACATGGAAAAAAGGAGCAAAAAGTATCACAATTGTGTATATTTTTCTCCCTTGCTAATTTCAAAAACAAATCCCTTAGTTCAACACTTGATATTACTTTAGAATGAATAACGATTTGGTTGTTATGGTAATTAGTATTATGAAATATGCACTAAAATGAAATGTTTCTTTCCCATGTTTTATTCTTTTTTCAACCTCATTCAGTAGTTCAATGTGGTTTCCTACAACAACTCTTGACATGGCAGTTTCATTAAATCTATGCAAATTTTTTTGCACACTGGTTAGAGAAAATGTTTAATCTTTTGTGACTTTTATTTTGCATCTAAATCCTTACTTTTTACTAGTCTGCAGGTAGGAAATCCAGGTGATTGATCCAAACTTCTTGAAGAGTTTCTGTCCTTGCACTTTTATGTTACTGTTTATTTTCAGTCTCCATGCTGCCATTGCATTTTAGGCCTCTGCTGTCATGTTTTGTGATCATGAAAACTGACAGCTTTGAGGCGGACACATTCTTACTTTTAGGTGGTAAACCACCAAGTTAGGGCTTTGGGAACTGGTGTCATCTTCTCTTTTCATTGTGTTTGCCCTCCCATCAGAGGACTAGGAGTGGATGGGACATTGGAGGAAAGAGGAAGTCTTCAGGGAAAGTATATTTTCTTTCAGAACAGGTGATTTTCCATTAATTTTCTGGGAAGTAAGAATTTTCAGATCAGCTTGAGACGTCCCTGGCAATCACATATCTAGCAAACACTTTTTTTAAATGTCCTATTTTGATTTAGAGCTTCATGGCCAGTTAACACTGAATCTAATATGTATTTTCCTCTGGTTTCAAGCTTCTAGTTTGTGTATCATACATGCCAGTATCTTGTAAAGCATCACAGCAGGTTCCTTCTGGGAATCTGTAATAGCTCTCAAATGTCAAAGCTGGAGATTCTGGACAACGAGGACTGGCTAGGGGCAGTGTGTTGTCACTTCCATTGCTTCCTTATTTCTTCC